CTCGATTTGAGAAAGGGGTAAAGATTTTAGTAGATTAAAAAAAAACACTGGGTGGATTTTTATCAGTATAGTTGTATACACACACTGCCAACACACATTTCAGATCAAACAACTTGTAAAAGTGCATGTAGCATCCGATGACCCCTTTAACCGTTCAATGACTATAAAGAGTCAAAAATAACTCTGTTCAATGAACAGATGTTCCGCTCTATGAACACAGTCTTCACGTGCGTGCCTCTCTGACAGCACTCAGAAACAGTCTCAGACTCAGTTCTTTTTCGCTGCTGATTGGGTTTCAACGGCTTAAAATGACTTGTTTTTTAACCGCAATACTTAAAAAAGCACACAAACGATACATTTTCCTGACCACGTAGCACAGCAACATCACATGAGCGTGTAACCACTATAGAGACGATAGTCCAAAATCTCTACTGGTTGACAAATTTCTACCGGTTAATCGTATATCGCCCACCCCTAAAAAACTCAGAATTAACCCAATTCTGTGGGTAAATTAGTTATCAGTGCAGTTGACTCTCATTCTGCTAGGTTATGTCGAGGTTAAAAACCTAAACCCATCTAAAATATCTGTATCTAATGATTTAGTAAATTAGTAACCTTAAATTAAGTAACATTAAATTAAGCTTGGTTTTTCTTAGGCAAAAGAAATCACTTCTGACTCTCACAAATCTGTACCAAAATTGAAAACTGCAAGTTTGTCTATGGCAATGCTTAATCAGTTGAAATCAACTGACTGTGTTTAAATGAAAAAAGAAATGTGTGAAATGTGTGGAGATGTGTTTATAATTGAGTTTGACTACAAGCTAGCCACAACTCTAGCTCTGACTAAGCAAGACATGACAAACTGTCACTGAGCATCATCACCCAGCGCCTAGCAACACTGTCTCCAAGACAACGGTCTTAATAATGGACCATTTTGTATCATCAAAATCTAAATCATCCAATACCTACATCCAAACTGCAATATACAGTCACAGCTGATGCTCCAAAATGAGTTTGCAGTTCAAAATTCTAAATATTAATTCTAAATATTAAATTCTGCTTAGAACTAATCAGAGGAATTCTTCCAACTGGTTACCAACAAAACATGTTTATTTAATAGCACAAAAGAAACATGCAAAACACAAATGAATTCCAAATGCACATTCTGAACTCTTTGTGTGAATGAAGGCTTGGAATGGCCGCATCATGCTGATTACACAAGTTACTCACGTCCGTCCACAGCCTGTAGACTCGGACTGATTGCTGCCTGACTGTTGCATCTTTGAGCGCTCAATGTGTTCCACATATGTCTGTATCATCTAAAAAAAATAAAAACAATGTCAGTGTATATGCTGACATTTTCAAGAAGTGGAGCTTTGTATTTGTAACTTTCAAGTTATTGCTAATAGTGTCCCCACAACTTTAGACTAATGAATTTCCATTATGTTTCCACTCATTTTCCATGCCAAAAAATAAATGTATCAAGATCACAATCACAAAAAGCTATTTTTAGCAGGTAAAACATGTTTTAAATAAATAAATAAAATAACTAGAAAAAAGTATATCCAATATGGAAATTTCCATTAACTTTCATAATATTTTATTTATTTATTCCATAATTTTTCCTACATTTCCTACAAACTTTTTCATCCTTATTCCCAGGTTTTCTATTATCATGGGAACCCTGTGTTAATTTGAGTTATCATTCTGTGCTGGGGGGTTTTACTGACCTCCGTATGGCGCTGGTGAAGGGCGTTATACTCTTTCTTCATGTCTGATTCTCGTTCTTCCAGACGAGAGACTACAAGAGAGGAACATCACAAATGCATAGCGCAAGAAACTCAAATCTCTGTTTGTGTCAATTTGTGTGCATGAACGAATGTAGTTGAGTGCACAGACTCACTCTGGTCAGCATAGTTCTTGGTCTTCAGCTCGAGTTGTTTTGTTTGTAGCTCCAAAGTCTCCACCATGGTCTGCAACTCCTTCTTGTCTGCCTCCAAGGCATCTTCAAATTCAATGAACTTCTGTTAACACACAAACACACACAAGGTCAGATCCTTTATCTTACAGCCTGAATTGGAGGGATGGATGGATGGATGGACGGATGGACAGATAGATAGACAGAGACAGACAGACAGACAGACAGACAGACAGAGACAGACAGACAGACAGACAGATAGACAGATAGATAGATAGATAGATAGATAAAACAGACAGATAGACAGATGTACGTGATCTTTGAGATATAACAATGCAGAGTGTGTGTGTATGTAAACTGATTTCAGTGCAAAATTATCCATAACCACATTATGAAGCAGAACAGCACAAGGTCAAAAAGCATTTTTGAGAAGGGACTGTTCTTCGAATACAATACAGTCACATTTACACACACAGTTTTATACACACACACTCCAAGTGCAGTGTGTGGTGACTTTGAGCTGCAAGGATTTAAGTGGAACACAATAGGCTCTTTCTGCAGTGCGGCCCAGCCACAAACAGCCTCCTGGAACTCAGTAATCCTAGCACTGCAAAGAGAGGGAAAAACCAAATGCACTCTATCTAACACTATACATTTCAAATCCGTCTTCAGTGAACACATCACACTAGGCCGATCATGTCATTCTAATGAGTGTTTTGACTAGAAGTCATTTCTAGAGTACTATATACACCTCATTTCAGAAGCATGTCTACATATATGATTATAGAGGCATTAAATGTTATGTAATGCTTTTCATAATGCAATTCCAGAATGCTAATTTGAGTTCTTGCTATACCTTGACATAACAATATCCCTCATTCAATACTGCAGTTTACCATTAAAGGTGAAGTGTGTATTTTCTGCATCACTAGTTACACCGAATAGAATACACAAAATAACGAGTGTTTCAAAATAGATCTCTCTGTCTGCAACTGGTTCGCCCAAAACTTGCGGCATTGGATGAGATTATATTGCTGTGTCAGGCTGGTTGGGATGCCACCAAAATAATGACTAATATGCAGAGTCACAGTGTTTACACTTTTTGTAGGAAGTACCTTACAATCTTGCTTGCGTTTGTCTTGCATATTAAGCAGGGATATGAGATTTTAATGAAAAAAATGACATGTGACAAGCTGGAGTAGAGCCAAATGCACCGGTCATGCCACCATACATCAGAAAGATGTGAATATGAAGCAAAAACATTCTTATGCCTTGTGTATGTCGTAAATAATCAGTATTCATTAAGCTTTTATACTGTTAGGCGTCACTTTTTCTAAAGCTAAATAACAGCTAAAATTCTAAAATGCAAGTTCATTGTAAAGATGTTCAATTAGAGTTATTACACACTGATTTCTCCCTTGAGGATCGATAATTGTATTATATCAAACTGTTTGACATTCAGAATATGTGTTTGCACATGGATGCGTCTGTATGAGAGGAAGACAGCAAGAAATAGTGAGGTGGATGTTCTTACTGTGTGGCCATTATAGTCTACTGCCATAATCCCACAGGATGTGAAACTGGAGAATGATGTTTACTCCCTCTCTCCCTCCCTCCATCCCTCACTATCTCACTCACTCTGTGCTTTCTGTCCGTCTCATAACATGAGAATCGGGTTACAGCGTCAGCCAGCCTCCTTCTATGAGAAAATTGATTACCCATAATCACCCTCCCTGCCCATCATCCTCCCACTTTTGTCCTCTGCACCCCAAGCAAATAAGTCGTTGCATTGCTGCAATAAAACATAAAAACACCCATCCCTAACACTTAACTATTTGATTTAATTAATTGTATTATTTTAAACCATAGCCTATTTATTTCTGCAGTAGAAACAAGCCTGCTACATGCAAAATTAATTACTGGCGTCAATTATTTTAGAACAAGAGGCTGCAACTGGGAAAATGCACAATAGACTTGAGTGAACTGGTCATTATACAGTTTATAGTATTAATATATTTTATGGGCGCATGTATAAATATAGTCTAGAAATAAATAAAAAAAATGGGGGGGAAAAACATTTAAAAATGCAGATTCTTTGGAATAAAAATAGAAAAATAAAATTAAAAAAAATAAAGAAATTTTTTTTGGGAAAAAAATAAAATAAAAGAGAAAAATATCTTTAAAATAAAGAAATAGATCTAGAAGAATAAATAGTGTGGCCGGCTTTCATGTTGAAATACCAAGAAAAAACGGAAGTAATCAAGAAATGGGTGGGAAGCATCACTGCAGTTACTGCATTTCATAATCACGCTCCTTCTCTGTAACATCTACGATACTGAAAAACAGCCTGTACTTTCTCTTTTTTTGTACTTTTTACTGTCTTCTGATACAGTAAGCTCTTAAAGTACATTGCTCAGTTATGACAGATCTATCATCACTTACTCTCCTTTATATATTCACACACTAAATCTTTACAATTACAACAATGACTTGCGCTTAAAGAGGAAACACACTCACATTTTGATTACATGCTACAGTCTAAACTCTGCTATAAAGCTTAACACAAGAAGAATCCCAATAATGTTCCGGGAGTGCAGTCGATAATACAGTTACGTTTGGAAAATCTGTTAGCATGTAGTGACGATGCCTGTGAAGAGTCATAAAGGGCATCTGTTCCCTGTAGCTGTCTAGCCATAGTAGCAGTGCCTGTGCTGGCACCCAAACAAGATGAGAGTGTTTGTCTGCTTATTACTTATGTATAAACGTGTATGAGATAATCTTTTGTAGGAGATTTAGAGATTTGTTTCCAGCAAGTATAGGCTGAGCAACACATGCAATTTTCTTTACAGGACAAAGCAGAGGAGTTGATGGAAGAACTGTAGTGCATATGACTATAGTGCATTGTTGGCTTAAGTTTCTCAAATGGACATCCCAGGTTCAAGGACAATGAACTGACCAGGTCAAACCACAATAGCTGTTTACAACACGAGTTTCTGTGTGTAAGTAAAGCAAGAAGGTAGCATTTCATACTAATGTGTATAGATAGAGGCTTTAACCCTATAAAGCCTACAGTATCATATTTTCTGCATGAATTTCTATGGCCTCCAAATTATCAACATGATCAAAAATTTGCAAGATTCACAAATGTGCCTTCTGTAATTGATAGTTTACACTTTTTAATAAGTAAAAGGCCTTTTAGTATGATTCTAAAAACATAGGCTAAGTATCAAATATGATACAACAGGCTTTTGAGGAACAATTATTTATACATCTCTCAATCATCATTGTGTTGCATTGCATTATGTTATGGACCCAATAATTAAAACTACAGAGCTTTGAGCATAAAACCATGCATTTAAATATCATTTTACAAAGTCATATTTTGGGGAGATTTAGGCCCCGTTTCACAGACAGGATTTAGACTAAGCCAGGATTAGGACATTTAAGTCATTTATTTTTAACATGCCTTAGAAAAAACATTATTGGTGTGCATCTTGAGACAAAACAAAGGCACTGATATATTTTAAGATCAGTCAGCGCAAGTTTCTTTCAGTTGAAACAGCTCAGAATTACATTTTAGTCTGAGACTAGGCTTAAGACTTGTCTGTGAAACCAGGGGAGAGAGTTACAGCTTATATTTATATACATTTTATGTCTGTTATACCGTCATAAAAACGTAACAGATTTACAAGCTGTCAGAATGTTCATCTTCTATATAGGTTCTATAAGCAGTTCCATTTCAACAAAACAGATTTTCTCACTATTATTTCATATGCCAGGCTTGACAGGGTTAAAGAGCCAGTGTCAGTGTTAACAGGGCTCTTGTAAATGTTTACAGACCCCGTTATGATCAAATAATACAAAGAGAATGAAAGGGTGTGTGATGAAATTATAATACCGTTATTAGAGTTTACCTCCTCCGCCTGTTTGCGCAGTGCTTTCTCCCGTTCATACTGCGTGATGAGCTGCTCGTTGTCCTCCTTGAGGAGCTCCAGCTCCACCTCGTGCTCCTGGTTCTCCGTTAACACCGAGTCGAGGTTCTCCAGGACGTTCACCACCAGCGGCATCAGCTCCTTCACCACCTCCTCGTCGTAGGTCTTGATGAGGCGCTCAAACTCGCGGTAAATGCTGCTGGCCAGGCCCGACACCCGCTCTGACATGACGGACACGGCCCCGTAGTCATCCTGGTACACCACCTCGTCCAGCTCCATCATCCTGGCGGCGTTTGATCGGAGCTCGTTACTAGAGAAAGAGTAAATAACACACCGGCGACGCGAATAGAAATGGCGAAACGGCTTCTATGAGTTCATGACAATGTCATCAGGTGCACATGATGCCGCTTCGCTCCACAGCCCGGTTGCACCAGCGACAGCCGGATCTCGGGACGCACGACCGTGTAATATTCAGTATTTGTCGATCAGACGGAGCTCACGGGAGGGGACGAGCCCTCTTCGCCGCCGGTGCTCCTGCGCCACAGTGTCGGCGGCTCGATCACACGCGCCTCGCCGCTGCTGCTCGACGATCCTCCGGTTGCGTCCGTCTCATCGCTGCGCTGGAGCCAAACCCATCGCATCGCATCACGCCCAGCGAGCGTCTGTCCGACGATGCACCTGCCTCTCAACAGCCGCAGCTCGCGAGCACAGCCATTACCGAAATATCAATGGAGTAAAAAAAATACCCGAGTATAAATAAATAAATAAATAAATACGAGAATAAATAGCTACCGTGCGATGTGCCTATGGGCTCGCGTTGTCATTGACAATCGGAGCGTTATGTGAGACTGATCATTTTTGGCATTACAGATCAATCCGGTGGCTCGTGATGCTGTTTCCGTCGGTGACTCTCGCAGACTGACGATGATGATGGAGAGGCCAGCTGACGTCACAGCGCCATGTCTCATCGCTGCTGTGCTCCAACAACCATTAACGACATGAATTATGCTATTTAATGTATCCTATGCCGTGAACAAGTATTAAACGCAAACATTAGTGCATTGATTAATACACAATCCTTCTTTGACTTGAGTTTTTTTTATATGAGTTTTTTTTATTATCGAGCACTCTGTGCAAACAGAAGCCGATAAATCAGGGGCCCAGGGAATCACACATGTGAGGTCCCTTTCCCCGGTTGAAGAGAATCGGTTTAAAGCATCACAGAAACATTTTTTTAGAGCCGTCCGCAAAAGTTCTTGCCAAACCCATCACAGATTGCATCATGTTGCTCTCTAGCCCCCACGAGTCTTCAAATGGGATTGCGATTAACGCAATTGGCAGTGTGTGGCACAGTCTGCAGCACAATTCATTCAAAGAGAAACTGTACATTTTAATTAAATTAAGTTTTTGCAAAAATGTTGTTGTTTGCGTTTCTGCACTGATTATTGAACAAAACTATCACAATCATATATCAACACTTCATGTAGAATGTAATTTTTTTTTTTTAAAGAAACATTACTCTCCTAACAAAATTTAAACGTAAAGGCCATTTATTTAGCCCTCTGGTGGTCTTTGATGGTCATTTTAGACACATTTTATTTAATTTTATAAGAATGGTACAAACCTTTTGTGAAAAAATTTTGTGGCAGTTGTTATATGAACATACAGTACAAAAAAGTTAGAAAACGTTAAATGGTCCTAAAAATCGCCCCTATAAGAAATAAATAGGAAATGTCCAAAATATCTAAATGCAAAATATAATAAAATTATGCCTGAAAATGTCTAATAAGTATATATAAATATATATATATATATATATACATATACATATATATATACACATACATATATACATATATGTATATACACACACATAAAATACACATATATTTATACATACATATTTAATTTTTAATGAGCCAAAAAGAATGCAGGTCACACCTCTTGTTTATTAATTTGCACTGGCTACCAATAGCTGCTGGCATAAAATTCAGGGCATTAATGTTTGCCTACAAAACCACCACTGGCTCTGCTCTCCCCTTTACCTAAATTCATTACTTCAGACTTATGTGCCCTCTAGAAGCTTGCGTTCTGCAAGTGAACGGCGTATTATTGTGCCATCCCAAAGAAGCACAAAATCAAGCATGGACTTTTTCATTAACTGTTCCCTCCTGGTGGAATGACCTGCCCAACTCTTTTCTAATCTTTTCGTATTCTATCTATTTGTATACAATTAACAAAAAGCAAAAAAGGCCTCTAACACTAGCCTAACACTAGCTTGCTCTATTCTATCTGTTTTCTTTTTATTTATTATACAATTTTAACTGCGTTAAGCTAACGGAGACTTATAGCACTTGCATATAATTGCTCTTTTGTTGATGTTGTTTGCTTCCATTGTCCTCATTTGTAAGTCGCTTTGGATAAAAGCATCGGCTAAATGACTAAATGTAATATATATATATATATATATATACACACACACACACTCTCAGGGCTATATACACTCAGGCATCTAGGACTTTCCAAATGGCACCAACCTGACTGTATACCTTTGCTGTAGTTTTAATTAAACACTGTATTAAAACATTTTTTTCTAATATTTAATATAGAAAGAAATGGTGCATAATTTACAGGAGCCTAGTACCATGAAACCCGCTAAAAATACAAAACATTAAAGAACAAAAAAATACTCAAATAATATACATTACTTTCATTTAATTTCTCTCTTTTGACTGCAGGAATGAGGAAATGAGGAATACCAGAGGGTTAAAACAATACATATACCATTTATAATGCTACACATACTATAAAATCAGGGAATATCTAATTCAGCCTCCACCCGGAAGGTCCTTTTCCCATATTTTACCTGTTATGAAATAAGTAGGTTTAAATAGATTCTTATATATTTACAAATATTTTACATGGCAAGTATAAATTAATTTTGTATCTGACAGTGATGACACTGTGAAAAATTAGACTAAGACTTTGCACAAAAACATGAATCCAAATTAATTCAGTTACATAAACCAGTTAAGTTGTAATTATCTAGTCTGTTTTGTACTCAAGAATCACGGATACCTCCTACCTTGAACAATATTGACTTGACTCCGTAACCTTAAAAAAAATCAGCAAGCACATGCACACAAGTAACTTTTCAAATGAAGATTTCTGTTAGTTTATTTCAAGCAACATGGCAAAACATCCTTTTGTCATGGAAAAAAAATAAGCAATACAAAACGGCATACAAATGAACAATACAGAGGTGTATTGTACGAAACAGGCCTCTGTGACATCATCGCAGCCAGTCACATTGCCAAGCAACCACTGAAGTATTTTGGGCAGGGATGGCACCAGTAATGCGGGAAATGCCCACACACACACACACACACACACATACGTGTCATATTTGACCTTCCAAATGCCATGTAAAGAATTAAGCAGATGGCTAATGTGAGGAAAGGCCAAATTCAACAGAAGTATTAAAGAATCAATGGTGCAGCAACTCTTTTCAAGTACAGAATCAGACATATCAGACGATTCTCCGAGTTTAAGGGTCTCTGGTTACATTCAAATGCATGTATGGACATTTTAATAGGGTGATATGTTAAAGATGCCTGATTGTACATATTCGATTCATTGTCATACATGTGTGCTTTGGCGATCATCAGTTACAAAAACTGTGCGTTTGGTTAGCCATCTAAACTACTACTTTTACATTTGGCTTCGTGTCTTACTCATAAAAAAAATAAATAAAAAAAATGCAAGAGCAGAGTAAAAAATGAGAAATGAAGTCACCTTATTGCACAAAAGAAACACATTCACTGGTTTTCAAAGGAAGATCTGAATACGCTGCAACTGAAGAGTTTGCTTTGGCGACCAACAGTGGTACCAGTTGAACACTGCATAGACTGTGCGGAGTTTCATGAGGCAAACTTGTATTTAATACATTAGCAAATTGAGAGAACATAATCATATAGAGAAACAACCGTCAATGCAAACCATTTGAAAGGAAACATAACCATTCAGTTTTTGGAGCGACGGCAACAGTGATTCCAAGTAGATGGAAAGGAAAAAGGAAAGTGAGGAATGAATCAAAAAAAAAAAAGTGCAGAAGCAAAAAAGGAACGAAGAGTGACAGACTTGAGGGAAAAACAAAAAACAAAAGAATGAGAAAGGATAAGTTTTAGTACAGGTTAAAAGCAGATGGAAGAAAGGAAGTGACAATGATGGCTATGGCTAATAGAAAACCACACTGGACTTTCCACCTGGTGGGTTGAGCACTTTGTTGTGAGAGCGAGGGCGGGGTCCGAGGCGTGGCTCGTGGTCCTTTTCTGTTGGTTGCTGTGTGGCTGGCTCAGAATTCTGATTGGCTGCGGGTGCAGGGGCTGCTGGCTCTTTTTCAGGTGTTGGTTGTAGGGGCACTGGCTCCGCCTTCACTTCCTCAACTACAGTCTCCTTCTTAGGCACTGGGGCTGCAAGAGAGAGAAAAACGGTGGGAAAGGGAACTGCCAGCCAACAATAAACACTGAGGTGAAACAAACTGGGGCATGAAGAACAGATGACTAATGTTTTCTTTACCTGGTGGATCTGGAGTAGCAGGTACACCCACACTTAAATTGTCCTACAGAGAATAAAAGGGCATTAGCGTTGAAATGGGTGGACATTTTCAGATTTTTAGAGTGGGAAGCATAATAAAAAATTATTATAAATTTGAGTCACATACACTCCCATTTAAAAGTTTAGAGTTGGTAACATTTTTTAGATGTTTTTGAAGAAAAAGCTCACGAAGGTTGCATTTATTTGATCAGAAATAGTTAGAAAAAGAAAGTAATATTGTGAAATGTTAATTTAAAATTACTTTCTATTTAATATATTTGGCAAAGCTGTTTTTTGTTTCAGAATTATTACTCTAGTCTTCAGTGTCACATGATCCTTCAGGAATCATTCTAATATGCCGCTTTGCTGCTCCAGAAAAAAATACAAGGTGTAGGTAGGCTAATGGGTTTGGTCTACCTTTGGTTTGTTGGGATGTTGACTTTTCACAGAAGGTGGGGTCGACTCTGTACCCGCAAAGATGTTACTGGCTGCTCCACCAGGGGGAACTGGCTTGCTCTGAGTCGAAGGAGCCACTGGCTCCCCAAATATCCCACTGCTCTTTCCACCTGAGACAATAACAGACACATAAATCAGAGTTTGTTGAGAAACTGCAAACTAGAAAAATCAGGGTATTGAATTTGGAATTGGGAATTTGGACGAAATAATGTTCATTTTACTTGAACGCATACCTATAAAATAGTAAAACCAGAGAAACTGATCATTTTACAGTGGTCTCTTATTTTTTTCCAGAGCTGTATATATTACTCAAAGTTCTAATAATTTTAACATGTTTGTCTTCCATGCGCATTTGTGTGTCTGTATAGCTTTATTATTTCAGCTTAGTTTTATTTCAGTACATCAAGTTTTTCTAATTATATTTTATTTCAGTTAACAGAAGTAAGTTTTTTTTTTATGGTTTTAGTAGTAGTAGTTGTAGTAACAAAAGTTACCAAAAATACATACAATAAAATAAACACACAAAATGAATACATCAGTTAAGATTAAGATGCAAGATGTTTTACATTTGCATGAGATATAAATTCTGAAAACTTTTCTTTTAAAGTCGTAATAAACAATTCCTTGAGTAAGCTTGGTTTTAGTTTTAATTAGCATTAATAACCCTGCTTTGCCGGGCCACTTGTTCATTTCTAAAACCATAGTAATGATACCACAGTGACATAGTTAGTTTCTTCCTGGCCAATTATAAAACACCACGTATAACAGTGAAGGAAAAAACAAAGAGACATTCTCAGCACCTGCTCCCTCAGGGCAAAGCATGCAAACAGCATGAAATATTATTACAATTCAAACAGAAGAGGACCACTTAACCAGGTCAGTTAACTGATCACTGATCAGTTCAGTCTATGTATGATCTCACAAAGTTAACTGACTGATTAGATAGACTGAGCTAGAGGTTTTGATGTTGCTTTCAGTGACACGATAACATGCAAAGTGCCCCTGTTTGCATAGTGGAAGAGAGAGTCTCGAACGCATAAAACTAAGTAACAGTGTGGTGATGATTTTCACTCACAGTGCAAGAGGCCCCAGACAGAAAACACTGTCTGCTGAAAGCTCACCTGGGGGATTGGAGCGTTTGGTACTCCCCTGGGTCTCTTCTGGAGGTGCGAAAACAGAGGAGGACATTTTGTTTGGCCGTCTGGAGGCAGAAGTGTCTTCTTCATAACCACCGAAGAGATTGCTTGACCCTCCACCTGGAGGTCTTAGTACCCTACAGACAACATACAGATATGTGCTTGAATTAATGCGAATATTACTCATATCTCATTACTGAAATGTATAGATTAATAAAATGACCTAAAACTACAGCGCCACCCTATCTGTGAGGCGGAACATCGCAACTGCAGTTATAAGTTTAGGCGGTCAGGCTTTTATGGGCCACCAAGTTGTACCTAACGTCAAAAGCTGAATTTTAATAATAATTCGTGGATTTCTTTACTAAAGTTAAAGCCCTGCACAATAAACAAAACTAAAACCAGCGGCATACTTTCGTTTCCTATCAACAAAACTTGAAGGAAATGAGCCTACTTCAAAGTCAGAAGTGTGCATAAATTCATATCTATTCATAAACTCACATTTATTTTTAAGGTAGCCATCATTTCAACGTAGAAATACATTTCTGATTAAAAGTAAAACGTCTATGTAGCTCACAAAACTTCTCTTTGAGCCTCGGCACAAATGCCGCTAACGGCTAACAACTCATTTTAACTTAACCACATTGAAACCACAGTTTGTAATATCATATTTTAACACACTCCACGGCACTTTATTCATACAGTTAAATCCAGTACTTTGACCTCAGTGTAAACTTAATACTAGTTTAATCGCTTAACTAATAGGTGTTAGCTTGTAGCGCTTAGCCAAGCTAAAGTTCCTCTTTCATGATTGTCGATTCAGATAAACACATTTAAGTGTCAACACCAAACCAACTACAAACACCGGTTTGGTCTGGATAAACTATCAGCACACGGTCCGTACCTTGAACTCGGTTTGCCACTACTATCAAGTCCCTGAAACATATTTGTTGTAGTCATGGTTGCTTGTCTCGGTCTGCTGCGGCGTGACCCAGTAACTTCAACAACAGCCCTCCCTGCAGAAAGTGTCCTGCCACACCGCTAAACTACAAGACTATGCCAAAAAAAAAAACGTCAAGTCTGACCGACCACGCCCAGAAAGGCTTGGACAGCTCATAAGCATTTAGGGCAGAACTGCAAATATGATTATGTGAATGGCTCTGTTAGAAATCAATCTGATTGAAGTAGAATTCTATTGGCTGTAAGGTTAATATGGCCAATAGAGTGTGTAGAGTCGGATGTTGATTGGTTAACTAAATACACTTACTTCCCAAGTAGTCTTGACTGCAACCTCAATTATTACAGAGGTCTTAAAAAATATGAGAAGTGATAAGGCCAAGAAATTATTTGATTTGTTTATTCAGTGTGATTTTGTTTAAACCCCTATTGTTTATGGTAGAATGAATGTATTTTATTTTATTTTGATTTATTTCTTGTAGGCGTTGTTTTGTTTATGAATGTCTCAGTTTGTGAGGACTTAAAGTTGTACTTATGTTAGCCTATTGTTATGTTAATGTTGAAATGCAAAATAAAAAAAACCTCAATTATAAAATATGAAAAAAAATCATATAGAGAAAATATAAGATTTTTTAAATGATAAATTGCGATAACATTTGTGAAAACAAAACAACGTGTTTTTTTTATTATAGTTATATATGTATTCGTAGGTATAAATTTATCAAACAAAACAAGAAGATATTTTTCTGTATAATTTCTGTAAATTCTATCATGATGTACAATCTTGTGCTTTGTATGTTCTTGTTTAAAAAAAGAAAACATATTTTAAAAAGTATACACATTATAACATATTTATTGTATTTAAACATATAATAATAATAATAATAATAATAATACACATTCTATATAATACATGGCAGTGACTGTAAATATAAGAACATAACGTAGTAAATTACATTTATAACAATACATTTCGCTCATGTTTCCTTCGCGTCTTCTATCGGTCTTTGTTCATTTCGTTTTCAGCTGGCTAAAAACGCTTTGGTGGACACAGGGCCTTAGGGTGGGACCGCTATTTTAAAACATTTGCCAGTTGAATGAAATTACGCTCGGCGAACGTAAATGTTGATTGGCTGCTTTGAAAAAACGCCCCTTCTGTCTTTCGTTACTGACTGAATCACTCGCCCTTCAATCATTTTACGTACGCGGTGACGTAAGTGCTATTGACCAATCAGAGCATTTGTTTATGGGTTGTGGTAGGCGTGTCTGACAGCCGAGGAAAACAGGAAGGGATGCGGTTCTCAGTGGTTCTCCTGCTACCCCTCTGCTCTGGTCTTTCTGGATACCGTGGAGTTTCTCAAGGCCAAAAATAAACCTCCTAAGCAGGTACATAGCTTGTAAATGTATTTTTTGCCAAGACGTAATTATTCATTGCACATCTGAGCTGATTATATGACTTCAGCAGAAACGGGACGGTAACTGTTTAGCTAGCAAGTTAGCGAAGCGACTTTCTCAACGACTGTGCTGCTGGCACTACTGGTGAGGTATCAGTTGTTGCATTCGCTTATGGTGTAATCAGACTAACAGTCCCTCCGTGATGCAATATATTATGCCCCCAAAACACGTTTTAAGCTTTTTGTGGGCTGACAAGCATCTATAATCAAGCAGTCACCCACTGACAATGTGTCTTTAACATTTGACAACTTATCAAAACTAACCCCAAGTTTAGAATTAGGATTGCTAAATGACCTGGATTTACTGTCAAACAGTATCCACAATTGCGCATGTGATACTAAATCAAGTTGTCACTGTGTCTTAAGCTGTTTATTCGCATCTATCACTGATGGTGCTCAGTCAACTGAGGTTGTTTATTTGATAATGCAGAGCTTCATGCTTCATGTAAATTTGCTGTTTAGCTTGTTGCTTGTAAAGGCGTCAACGCTCGTGAGCACATTTCACTGAATGCTCAAGAGGATGAAATAAAATCAGTTAGTTTGATCTGAATGCTCCCCTCAAATAGTGACTGGACACTGGGGTATTGACAGCTGCAGCTGTTGGGAGCAGTGGTTGAGCAGCTGAGGTCGGCATTGCCTAGCTGTTTATTATTTCATAAAGACATAACCATGTTGTTCGTGAGATAAAATGAGCTAAATGTTGCTTCACACACACACACTATAGAGTTCTCTTTCTTGGCTGCAATAATGTTTCAAATAGAATAGAAAGCAACGGACCTCTAGCATCCAAAGCATGCACGATTACTGTTTACAGCTAGATTTATAAAGTAAAAACTTTTGATTGTCCTTCTTGACAAAGTCAAGTGTTATGTTAAAAAACATTTGAGCTCTTATGAACTGAAGACACACCCTAATCAAGCAAAACATGGTGTCAACTGACAATTGCAGACTTTTCTATTTTAATAAACAGCAAAGATGCATGATTCGAGAAGGAGTCACGGTTATATGTGCGGTTACTAATGTTTAATGTTAATTTTTTTTGCTGTGTATGCAAAGCACCATACCACACCCCCCTCTCGTGTACGTGATCTGTATGTGCTCTATCAAGTCTGTTGAGATGATGAAATCAACGCACGCTTATCTTGGGATAAATTCGGACCGTGGATGTCACTGAGCGAAATTTAAATTTGAACAATAACAATTATAACTGCTTCTGCTCTGATAGTTACGGTGACGTAGATAGACTAAGCAAAGTCCAGAGAGAGCATAGCGGCTGCGTTGCGTTTGCATTGAGCGAAATGCCTCAAAAGCAGATCTGGATCCAAACTTAGCGTCAGCGTGCGTTGTTTTATCGCAAACACGCGCTAAATGACAGGTGTGCTTGTTGTGATAAAACTAGAGAGTTTGTGAGTCAGGGTTGCTGTGGCTACGAGAAGCTCCCAGTTGCGCTGCGCGGAGTTGAACCCCAGTAGGAGCAGCAGCCAGAAGAGGACGACTTTGCCTGACCTCGTTTGCGCTTCGAATATGTTCAAATTCGATAAGTTTTGCTCTCTAAAATCTCCGAACTCATGGTGAAGAGAAAGAAGACGCCGTCTGCTTCCGAAGAGCTCGAGAATGGGTAAGAGTGCGTGAGAAACAAGCACTTCAGATAGAGGTCGAATGCGCGAAAGATTTGCGTTGTCGTCTGTCGTTTCTGCAGGGCGCTAAAGTGAAGGCGCTCGCGCTTGAATTTCAAGGTAAATAAAGGGCTCGCTCGCAACCAGAGCCACGCGAAACTACACAAAAAAGGAGGCTGGGTTGAAAGCGCGGTGTGTGTTTTCGGTCACGTTCATTGAATAGTCGAAGGGTTGTGTTTCGACTCGTTTTGTCGGGACGGTGAGAGGGGATTTGAAACAAACAGCGGCGGCCATGTTGAGTTGAGCAGAATGTCGTCTTTCCAAGTTGATCGCTGTTTTGCGAATGTTTGCGATTATGCTTCGTTTGTGTTTACGCAGGATGACAGTGGGCCAAGGGGGCGGTTCGGGAGTCGAGGGACCGAGCAAACCGGACCGAAAGCCCGACGGAGGTGAGGATGGAGAGAGCGCAGATCAGGCGAGCGAGGAGACGAGTACAAAGAGAGTCGGAGAGGAAACACTTAATCCATCAAGCGCGGCCAGCCCCGGTTCGGCTCCGACTCTTTCCAGCCAAACATCAAGCCCACCCGGAGCCCAGGTGAACCCGACAGCGCTTTCCCCAGTCCTGGCCGCCCCGAGCAACCAGGACCAGCATCATTTTCTCCGCTCCAGCGTGCGACCTCCGAGCAAGCGGATACGGAAAGATGCCTCGTCCGCGGCGCTGAACGGTCACGGCGGTGCGAAAGCGAAAGGTGAGTGGCCATCTCGACGTGCGTCCGCTGCCCACCTGTCAGTGCATACCTTTTCTGCACTTTTATCTCACTTTTGAACGTGTTTTGAGGCAATCTGGGCTGCTCTTGGTTTGACAACGCGGATAAGCTCTCATGCTTTCTTGAGTGAAAGTGACTTGACAAACTGCTCACACTGAAGCCTCTCAAATCTCAGCACTGGGATGCTTGGGTTGCTTGTAACCACATTAAATCACTTAATAAGATGCAGTGCACTATTTTAAATCAGCAGGCTCGGTGGTTAATTTTTTATTTATTTGCCTTTCATATCACTAGTTTAGCTGCCACCCAGCAGCAGGTGACGAATCACTGTCAGGAGTTTCATTCTGATGCATCTGTTCAGGAGATGGTCACTGAATGGTCATTGAATCGGGATCACAAATCAGGAATCTGTACACAGGGGCTATAAAAGGGAATCAGTGTTTATTTTAAAATAAAATTGTATCTTGCATGCTGTAATGTATTCTGGTGTGCTCTCATTGCATGCTCTCTTGTGTAAGTGGGGAGAGTTATTGGCATCTCCGGTTCCCCACGTGTTGTTTTTGGATCAGTGCACTGAGCAGCAGGTCTGGATGCCCTCAGAGGGACTCCACACACTTCCTGACACTCTTCTTGACATACACACACATTAACAGTGTGCATAATTTTTATTTATTTTTTTAAATGGGCTGATAATCTGTAGGCCTTCCTAATTGATAACAGAAATGTAATATTTTTCTATTAGGTCTCAGCCTGACGTTATGCAATTATTTTCAATATTAAATTTTATTTGTTTGATGTGAATATTTGCTTTTTAAAAAAGTGGTGTTTGCATGGTTTCGTAAATCTCTAATGTTCAACCAAAAATAAATTTAGCAGCCCAAAGTATTATAAATAAATTGCACCGCCATTCAAATTAAGCTTGCTCATTCCAGCACTCTTTACTGATATCTTTTGCGTATGAGTGACAGTTGTTTTGTGTGTGTGTCTGTGTGTTTCCTTTAATGTTAATCTTGTTTTTTTGTTTGGTGTAGATATGCATGGCGAAAGTGATATACCAGAGTGTCAATTAAATTAATGGTCAACAGTGCTCAGTAATCTGAAAAAACTTGAAAACTCGAACAAAAATGTGTATATATAGATAGACTTGTAAAAGCAATCCCTAAGTATATTTAAGCACAATATTGCATAGTTGGTGCTTTTATAGATGCACATTATGATATTATTGTTTCTATATATTTTTGTTTGTGTGTGTGTATGTATATATAAAACACTTGCTATGCTTTTCTCAGCATGTGTTCAGAACTGACATACTAACCCTCTTC